TATTATACTATATACTATATATTATATATATATACAATATATATATATATATATATATATATATATATATATATATATATATAAACTTATATACATAGATACATAGATACATACAAATGTACATACATATTCGTATACATACATGTATTTGTACATGTATTTTCATTTATGTATTTTTTTCATAATGTTTGGCATAGAGACAGTTACAGAAACATATCCTTTTCCATATCTCTATATCTATATGTTTGAGCTCTGGAGCTCAATTTGTACTGTTCTATACGTAAATTCTGACCGTTGAACATTATGCGATGCTTCAGGGCGGCGCTGAAGGAGACGCTGGAGGCACAGAAGTACAGGAAACGCACACACGGCGTAGATAGCATAGGCTTAGGCACTGTGGAGGTGGATCCCAGTGTGGCCGAAGCCGCTGCAAAGAAAAAACTGGTAAGGTGTTGGAACTACCTACACTAATGCAACTGTAAGCTTAAAACATGCGAATTTCTCATGACCAATTTGCAATTACATGTTTCAACTATTGATGTTCGTAAACTGTGCGTCATCGTGATATACATGCGAGTGAAACTCGTGGAGCCAGTTCACTTTCTTTGGGTTCAAGCTATCGGCAGTACGATGTGTGTCTATGAGTTTGAGTGTCCTATTAATAGTGTCACCCCAGTTTAGTTGCCAGTGTCCCTATCCAGTCCTTTCAGACTCTCAGCTACTTGGCTTGTCGTATGGTTCCTTCTGTGCTCTACTTGGCAGCCGTGTCAGTGTTCGACAGAACCATTCGGTACATACCATATTCTACCTCTGGACACGTCCGTGCACCCGATATCAGCGGCATGTCTTAGTTGTGTGTGTTATCACGTTGTGGGTCGATCGGACAGCCCTGTCCCTTTCCCTTTCCGGCTACCTCCCTCCCTTCCCCTGGTCAACTAACCCTCTTTTATCACCTATGCTACTCGTCTGACCGACATTGTATGACACTCGTTTGTCACAGCGTATTCCCAACGAGTGATACAGACATCATCCATAAGGTTGGACAGTACAGATACCTACCAGCATCAACATCTGGGCGGCCACATTACTTTTGTTCCTGCCAACGCGGCGTTCGGCTTTTTACACTTGTCAAGCTCTCTACACAGATTCTAACTTTGTCAACATCGCTTATCAATTGTTGCAATCCAAATCTCTCTCTTTAGGCCGAGGAGAATGCGCCCAGATCCGGGCTGGTTGTTCCCAAGAAGTAAGTGGCTCTTGAAGTGCCTGTGTGTTATATACATGCATCTATAACCATTGCATCGGGGGTGTGCACGTTGATATCAGCGTGTACGTCGGGTGCGTTACGGGTGTGCTTTACACGAGGGTTCGCCACGACGAAACGTATCCGCACTGACAAAACATTGAACAATACTACACGGTGTACAAATATCTCCTGTTTATATTGCGACACAGTAGATATGAGTCTCGCTGTTAGGACGACGCTCAGACTTGGTGTTTGTACATATTGGTAGCGCGAACTGTTCATTTACAGACACTGTGAGTATTCTCACCTACAACTCTGTGAAACGGAGGTATGGCTGAACATCGAATCCATCGGTAGAGGAGCATCCGATATACCCTTCAGATCACAGGCTGACCTGCCAATAGCAACGAGGGGGTTGTTCTGCTTCACATCTATATGTTTCTTCTCAGTACTTTTATTATCATTTCACTGTTTACAGATATGAAGCGATTTTTGGACATCAATTGGCCGACACTGCAGCTCCCACGGTAGCCAAGCATTTGTACGTTCCGAATTCAAATTTTTATGTCTGTTGTCAATTCACACATCGTCTGTGTCTGCCCATATCCATACGTACATGCATGTATTGTGGAAATTGGAAGTAAGGTATTGTACACCCGTTTAGGTT